GTGTTCCCTTTTTTGATAAGCCCTGTATACCGTTGCTAGAAGTGCAATAAGAATTGCGAAATACAATTAACAACACACCTAGGAACTACCCAATCAGAAGACAACATACCTAGGAACTGACCAATCATAAGACAACATACCTAGGAACTGACCAATCAGAAGATAACAGTTTAAGCAACTAGTGGCATATGTTAAAACTAACTCAACCTGAGAACGTGCACATGACTCTGTACAACCGTACGTGCAGAAAGAAACGATATAAGAAGTCAAAACCCTTTGTCTGTGAAATACACCTTGAGTTTATTGATACCAATTTCATTGAAGTAAATGTGTGTGATAAATGTTGGTTTTAACAGAGTATCTTTCTTCTATTGAAGTGGTAAATGTAAACGACACTGTGATCTTTATTCATGTAAAGTATGAAACCTTAGATTTAGAAACTAATTTTCGTTCCATTCTCGATTTTAGACATGAATATTTCTTTGTTAAAGACAAAATCGTCATCAAATAAGGTTGAAAAACGTCGATGTTTGTGTTTTATATTCACCACGATGATGGACTCGCATAACTGTAAAGAAAGTGATGCATATAAAATTAAATACACATTTTCATAGTAGTTTTCTCCCTTCATTTCAAAAATAGTCTTCATAAAGAGGTTTTAAAAGTTTTTTTTCAGTTTAACTCCAAAAACTATTTGTGTTTTGGAGCTCATTATTAAAATTTGTGTATAAATTAGTAAACGTGAAGTTGTATCAGCGGTTATTAGCCTATTATTGACATGCTTTTGTGTCGGTTCTACTCGATTTATCTTCGTAAACCTCTGTGAATATACTGCATTAAGTAGCTACGTATGCTTGCCGCGGACGTTGCCTCGCAGAAGGATAGATAGGATCATGTAGCTTAGATCGGAAATGCAAGTGAAGTTTGGCCAAAGAATGGCGACTTCTACTTGGGATTAGTGGGTAAAAATGGTACCTTAGCGTAGAGGAGGCAAATAGCATCTGTAAGAGGAAATAGAAGACTGGATCTAGCGAGCAAGATCTATTGAAGACAAAGAAAAGATGGTGGTTCTGGTGTAAAGAAAAATATATCTTTCCCCTAGTACGGTAAAAGCATGCAGTCCTGGTAGTTAGCCAATTTCACGAATGGCCTTCTACAGGACTATTAAGGCACTCTTGGATCCTCTATAATGCACGAGTAGTTCAACCCACCCCGGTTGGGGGTCACACGTAGGTGCTACATGCACTAGGTTAAGTTACGTTAAGGGCATGATGGGTTACCTCCTTAAGAAGGCACTTCTTTTCAGGGCGGAATTCCGGTGTCATGCGCAGGTAGAAAGTTTAGATAGCTCAGGCTGTGCTGTAGTTGCCGCGAGTAGTTGCTATGCTCAGATAACCAAAGTGGAGTTAGTACCTTTATTAATTTAAAGGACAAACACCAGTTTAGAGAGAAATTACTAAATAAAAATGTTTGGAAGAAACTTCCAATTCTTCTGTCGGTCATTTTCATACGACAAATTGAAACTTAAAAAGTATTCTGTTTGTTTACGACATTTACAGTTTAGGGGCGGCGTGGCAGTAATCATTGTAAATGTAAAAAGTGGTATGTTGTTTTCTTTTAAAGAAGACTTCTTTCCTGGGAATTTCAATACTTTTTGCCACAGCGCAAACGAGCAAAAAGTAAATGATTAGTACACCAGGTAATGATATGCGAAATGCCTTCATAAAGAACCTAAAACGAAACATAGTTTTAATAAAAGTGTCTTGTTTGTATACTTTAATGGTTAGTGTGAAGACAAGTCGCAGACGTTGTCACATATTTTACTTCATAGTAGCTAAGGTTTCCATGTTCGCCAATCTTGTTGCTATCAAAGTCAAGTACGAAGGATAATCGTCAAACGGTTGTTTGGTTAAACCATCCCCAGTTCCTCGGTAACCAAACTTAACGTGTGCTTCTTCAAGTAACTACTGTTGATATTGTTTTTTGATATTGACTACATTTTTCTAAAATGATTGTTTGCACTAGTGTAAGTGAACCTCATTCGGCTCTATAGAATACTTGAAGTACTTTCATCTAATCCATATCATGCAGCAAGCGCTGGCTCTAATATTTTAGTGGCACCGAGCGAGCAAAGCACTGAATGAAAACATGAAAACGGTGCAAAACAGGGACGCTTAAGTGGCGCTAGGTACGACTTGGATATGGATTAGATGTTAAACAGCACACGTTTTACGAAATTACCATCAAAAACAATTTTCTCGTTCAGAGTAGAAAATTGTCTATTTCGATGATAGATTTGTGTGTCGGTAAAATGTGGCGAATTCCGTGCACGTTAAAAATGGAGAATTTTAGAAAAATAGCTATATACCTTCAAGACCATATTTTCAGCCTTGAAAGTGCATTTCATTCTTTCTCTTTTACTTTTTTGGCTCTTTGAATCGCTTCAAAGTTATGTAAACTTTATTGTTTGTAAGGGTTCCCCTGGGGCGCGTAATTTCGGCTAAAATCCCTAGTGGTTTTTTCCTGTTCAGTATTCTCCAAGTTGTTATGACTTTGTGTTTGGTCTTGGTTTATACCGTTCAGGTTTTTCCATTAGGGATTTTTTATTTTGGTAAAGTCTTAAAAAACAGTGACTTTCGTAAGGGACTATATCGGTACTTCATGTTATATACAATCATCAAAACTAAAGACAGAATTCATTTTGTAAAAGAAGTTTTTAGAGTACGTGCTCCCGATAAAGTTAACGTCAACACGAACCATTTTTAACCGTCTGACAATCTTCGGAAAATAAAATTTCTGAATCATTTAATAAATCTATGATCTGTTTAATTTATTCTAAGCTGCTTTAATTTACCTAAAATGTCACACATCTTTTTTGAGCGGTACAGCTTAGTTTTTGGGTTGGATTCCCAATGCACTGTTCTTGTGTCAGAAATGCTCATATTATGGTTGAAATTTTTAAGTAATTTCTGACGTAAACATCTCAAATTGTACATTGTAATAGGAAAGGCATTTATGGTTATATATATATTTTAAATAATTATGTTCTCAGTTATAATTTTATTAGCAAATGTATGTGGTCTAGTCTTAAAACGAATTTTTTTGAAATATATTCACTCGGAAGAAGTCTTAAAGGTAAAGAAGATGATTTTTTTCTTTTTCCGTAGTTTATGTGTAGAAAAAATGGCCATTTTTCATGACATATAATAATACATACGAATGCTTCAAATTTTAGTACAATCGAATGCTTCAATTTGATTAAATTAAACTGTGGCTTTCTAAAATGTTCATAATGGTTATTGACACTTCCATCCAATTTTGGGGATAAATGGGATTATAATTTACATTCATTTCCCTCAAGTGAAAGGTGGTCCTCTAGCTGGTGGATAGGGAATTTCAGCAGGTGGTTTATCAGCTTTATCTACCGCTTTATAAGTTATAACGCATACATATTTACTAAGTGGTATAAAATATCCCTTACAATTCAGCGCGATGTTATACTTGGAAATGTACAATTACTTATGACGTTTAAAGTGCCTATGATATGAAAATTCTTATGTTTGCAATGACCAGAACTTTTAAAATGACATTGTACTTTCTAAAACAGTTAATGCATATCTCTTTTCCTTCGCGAGATATTGAAGTTTTTGTTATTTTTATTTCATCCAACTTGTGAAGGCATATTGCATAATGAGTTCTAAAAATGTTTCAACTAATCTTCATTTTCCTGACAACTTTAGGTTGATACTAATAGGCAGCATTTTATACCATCAAACACGTCTCAATAAATGAAACTATGTCCTTGGGAAGTAAAGTATCGTTAAATATACCTAATACTCTCATTATTCAATGTGACGTCACAAGTTAGATAAGTCGGAACAGCATAAGCCTCAATATCTCAAGAATTAAAAGTGATTGCATGAACTGTTTTAGAAAGTACACTGTCATTGCAAACATAAAAATTTTCGTGTCATAGGCCCTTTAAAAAAGCATACCATTTGGTCAGTAAACGAATACAAAATAATTTATAGTCTTGTGAAGATTGATGAAGATTAGTTACCATTACAAGCCAATCCTCGCTGCCAAAGTCAAACACGGTTGCACAATTCAGAAAAGCTAGCTGTCATAAGTTACAACTCATTGTAAAATAAGAACGTTTCTAAAATCTTATATAAATCAGTGCAGTACACTCTAGAATAAATCAAAACAACTTAAGAGGCAAAAATGTCAGCCTTAGTCAATTCAAGAAAAACCTTCGCACTTATTATACATTATATAAATTGTGTTGTTTTTAATGTTTGCAACGTTGTGTTTAAAAGGCTGCAGTAACTGGAGAAAGTTGTAGCATTGTTCTTTGTCATTTAGAAGTTGTTTACGTTCTTTTGTTTTTATAGTATGCTCTTTGGGAAGTAAATTCAATAAAATAAAGAAGCCCAAAAGCTCAAAATTTATACAAATGATTTACAAAACATTCAACTAAAACTATTACCGAGTGCTTTCATATGACATTAATGTACGGATACCTACCAGATGATATGGGATCTGAGATGATAAAATCAACACAACTTTGCACTATTTTCTATCTGTGGAGTAAATACAAGGTCTTCCAGCAGTTATAAGATTATTTTAAAACTTTACTCAGTAAATGTGAGTGTGAGAGATTTTTTAGAATATAGGCAATAGAGAGCGCCGTAGTTAACCTTACGTGTATTTAGGTGTATATTCAATATTCGTTTAAGAAATCTTAAACACATAGCACTTGCATTTTAATTGTATGGGTTTAGGCACGAAATAATTGTCAGAGTTACACCGCATGAAATAAGGAAAATATCAGAAAATGATGACAGCTATGATTATTTCTCTATAAAACTAATTAAAATATTATTGAGTCCATATACAAATTATTAGACGAAATGCTGTCTATGTTACGTAATTAATGTGAGATAATAAAACGCAAAGGATTCTACTTAAGGAATTATGCACAGCTTCTGATGGTCAAATTTATACGATAAGGAACTCCCAAGAGCCCAAAACACCAAGGCCAGACTTTTAGTAATTATAATAATTTCAGAAATACAAATTTTTATGGTGTACGAGTTTATTATGTTGGATAAATGTAGTGCAAAATTTATCAGTGCAGCCAAACATAAAAATTAACTTTTAATGTCATATTCGCCTTCAATCCTTTTTCAAAGAATTTTACAGTAAAAAGTAAATAATCAGGTATATTACATAGTATCAATAAATACCACAGGTTATAGATTTACCAAAAATGTGATGAAATAGTATTTAAATACGTCGTGGAAACTGTTTTTCTTTATATCTATAAAATAAGATCTCTACAGTATCAATGATTTCTTAATGGCTACTTTTTTACCCCCAACAGGTTCTGTTGTATCTAAATTGCTTATTGATGTAGTTCGCTTTCATTAAAATTAAAAAAGTTCTTGAGTTCTGGTTTGTTTTTCAATTTATCATTTGACCTGACAGCAGCATGTACCCGAACAGGGAGATTAGGAAATGTTCGGAGAAAATACGCCCTGTAATCGCCAATCTTATAAAATGGTTCTGGTTGTGGTAGAGGTCGTGGTCGATCGTTCCAATGCTGGCCAGTATTTCGAATAAGTCTTAAGCATTCTGTCCATGAAGATTTATAATGCACCTTATTGATTTTTCCATTTTTTTCGTACGTGGAAAAATAATCATAGACATCACTATCCATTTGACTTTTCCATTGTACGGATTCGCTATTCAATTGTCGAACGACACTTGACTGGGGATTATTGGCTTTGATTGGTTTTTGGTTCCCAACTTTACTTAACATTTCAAATTTCTCATCATCCGACATGAGAAATGGGTGTTTTAGTGCTTCGTTAGAATATGGTCTGTCTTCAGGTTTTAGATTTAACATCCACGACAGAAGGTCCCTTAGTGTTTTATCCTCGATATCTTTCAAACCAACAGGTTTTCCATTCAGCATGTTGTCCAGTCTATACCGTTGAACTCCAAAAGGATGCTTTCCTTTTGTTGTTACATAATAAGCTACCATCCCTGCATTCTAAAATAATAAAAAGCGTTACATCAAAATGCAATTTTACAACATTGAGTTTCTTTACAACTTACAAATGCTTACATTCCTACACTTACATATACATCAGACTTTCTTTTGTAACGCGCTTTCTTTACTTCATCATCATCTTCGCAATATGATTCAGGAGCTATCCAATGCACAGTTCCCATGGAAGTATTGCTTTTATATGTTGTAAAGTCATTCTTCATTATTCGACCTATGCCAAAGTCAGCTATCAGAAATTTACTTTTTGAGTCTCGTAGAACATTGGAAGGCTTCAAATCCCGATGTAGAATAGGATATGGGCCTCTATGAAGATCAGCTAATCCTTTTAAAATTTGTCTAAGAATATCAGGAAGAGCTTTTTGAAGATCTTGCAATGTAGAAGACTTGACAAAACTCTCCAATGATTCTTCACATAAGTCTAATATCAAATAAACATATTCTGTTCCAGTATCTTCTTCTAAGTAGAAATAATTCACAACATATTTCGACTTCTTTGCATTGAATTCATTTAAGATTTTCTTTTCGTGATGAGCAAGCTGGATAAATTTATGTCGATGTATTCGTTTCACTGCTTTACCGTAACCATCCTTACCCAGTCCAAGAAAAACACGGGTTGCATCACTTCCTTCGCCAATGCAAAATTCTTCTGAGAATATTACACGCACATTGCCCACTACTTTAACCTCAACACTGGAATTGCGTCCATATTGAATCAACTTTAAAAGCAATTCTCTATGTTTCGTTGATTCGTCAATGTATTTCCACTCTTCTAGATAAAAATATTACATTCAAGGGTTAAAGAAACAAAATAAATATAACAAAATAGCTTAAACTTCCCCAATTAGGAAAGGATACAGATACGTATTAAGAATTATTACGATTTTAAAATAATTCTAATAATTCATTACACCAAAATAATTCTAAGAATCTGTATTTTTCATTTGGCGAAAAAAAGATGGGATGAAATTTGGCCGGAGTTGCATTTTAACAAAATATCATTAACGCAAATGAGTCACCAACATTATGTTGTATATAATATCTACAAACTTACCAAAAAACTTTAAAGCTTTGTCGTGTTTTTCTTTTTTATCATAAAGCAAACCAAGATTGCTTAAAGAAACAGCGACTTCAACATGATTTGGATCTAAAGATCGTTTTCGAATTTCCAGAGCTTTTTCGTAAAACTCTATAGCTTTGTCGTAGTTTCCCGTTTCATTATACACAGTACAAAGATTGCTTAAAGACGTAGCAACATCAACATGATTTGGACCTAACGATTGTTTTCGAATTTGTAGAGCTTTTTCGTGAACCTCTATAGCTTTGTCGTAGTTTTCAGTTTTATAAAACACCATACCAAGATTGCTTAAAGACCCAGCAAAATCAGCATGATTTGGACCTAACGATTGTTTTTTAATTTCCAGAGATTTTTTGTGAAAATCTATAGCTTTTTCGTAATTTCCAGTTTCATAAAACACCATACCAAGATTGTTTAAAGACCCAGCAACATCAACATGATTTAGACCCAACGATTGTTTTTGAATTTCCAGAGATTTTTTGTGAAATTCTATAGCTTTGTCGTAGTTTCCAGTTCTATTAAATGCCAAACCAAGATTGTTTAAAGACGCAGCGACATCAACATGATTTGGACCTAACGACTGTTTTCTAATTTCCAGAGCTTTTTTGTGAAACTCGATAGCTTTGTCGTACTTTCCAGTTTCATAAAACACCATACCAAGATTGTTTAAAGACCCAGCAACATCAACATGATTTGGACCTAACGATTGATTTTGAATTTCGAGAGCTTTTTCGTGAGCCTCTATAGCTTTGTCGTACTTTCCAGTTTCATAAAACACCATACCAAGATTGTTTAAAGACCCAGCAACATCAACATGATTTGGACCTAACGATTGTTTTTGAATTTCCAGAGCTTTTTCGTGAAACTCTATAGCTCTTTCGTAATTTCCAGTTTCATAAAACACCATACCAAGATTGTTTAAAGACCCAGCAAAATTAACATGACTTGCACCCAACGATTGTTTTTTTATTTGCAGAGCCTTTTCTTGGAACTCAATAGATTTTTCGTAATTTCCAGTTTTACAAAACACTACACCAAGATTGTTTAAAGACTGAGCAACATCAACATGATTTGGACCTAACGATTGTTCTCGAATTTCCAGAGCTTTTTTGTGAACCTCTTTAGCTTTGTCGTAGTTTCCAGTTTTTTCAAGCACATTACCCAGATTGTTTAAAGACCCAGCAATATCAACATGATTTGGACCTAACGATTGTTTTTGAATTTCCAGACCTTTTTCGTGAGCCTCTATAGCTTTGTCGTACTTTCCAGTTTTTGCAAGCACATTACCTAGATTGTTTAAAGACCCAGCAACATCAACATGAATTGGACCTAAAGATTTTTTTTGAATTTCCAGAGCTCTTTCGTGAAACCCTATAGCTTTCTCGTAATTTCCAGTTTCATAAAACACCATACCAAGATTGTTTAAAGACCCAGCAACATCAACATGATTTGGACCTAACGATAGTTTTCTAATTTCCAGAGCTTTTTCGTGAAACTCTATAGCTTTGTCGTAGTTTCCAGTTCCTACAAACACCGTACCAAGATTGTTTAAAGACTGAGCAACATCAACATGATTTGGACCTAACGATTGTTTTCGAATTTCTAGAGCTTTTTCGTGAACCTCTTTTGCTTTGTCGTAGTTTGCAGTTTTTTCAAACACCAAACCAAGATTGTTTAAAGAAACAGCAACATAAACATGATTTGAACCTAACGATTGTTTTCGAATTTCCAGTGCTTTTTTGTGAAACTCTTTAGCTTTGTCGTATTTTAAAGTTTTATAAAACACCATACCAAGATTGTTGAAAGAATTAGCAACATCAACATGATTTGGACCTAACGATTGTTTTCGAATTTCTAGAGCTTTTTCGTGAACATCTATAGCTTTGTCGTAGTTTTCAGTTCTTTCAAATACCACACCAAGATTGTTTAACGAATTAGCAACATTAAAATGATTTGGACCTAACGATTGTTTTCGAATTTCTAGAGCTTTTTCGTGAACCTCTTTTGCTTTTTCGTAGTTTCCAGTTTTTTCAAACACCAAACCAAGATTGTTTAAAGAATCAGCAACATCAACATGATTTGGACCTAACGATTGTTTTCGAATTTCCAGTGCTTTTTATGAAACTCTTTAGCTTTGTCGTAGTTTCCAGTTTTTTCAAACACCTTACCAAGATTGTTTAAAGACTGAGCAATATCAACATGATTTGGACCTAACGATTGTTTTCGGATTTCTAGAGCTTTTTCGTGAGCCTCTTTAGCTTTGTCGTAGTTTCCAGTTTTACGAAACACCAGACCAAGATTGTTTAAAGACAGAGCAACATCAATATGATTTGGACCTAACAATTTTTTTTGAATTTCCAGAGCTTTTTCGTAAAACTCTATAGCTTTTTCGTAATTTCCACTTTCATAATACAAATTACCAAAATTGTTCAAAGACTGAGCACCATCAACATGATTTGGACCTGACGATTGTTTTTGAATTTCCATATTTTTTTCGTGAAACTCTATAGCTTTTTCGTAATTTCCAGATTGCCTAGCTTGTATTATTTAATGCGATGAATTTGCATACAACAACTTAGCATCGAGGAAAGACAATTGCAACGTCACGAAGATAAGCAAAATTCTTTAGCTCCATAAAAATGTGGACTTACTAAATTGAACAAGCGATACTATAGTTTATGACAAAGATAAACACACTTGTTGATTAATATTTCTACTTCTAAAACGACTTAAATATCTAAACTATTCAATGATGACATGTATGTGTCCATTTGCGATTTTAAAGAAAATGTACTTTGTGGTGAATCATAAATAATTAAATATACTTTAGAAAAAGCCTTACCTTGTTTAAGATGGCAGTGATTTGTTTATGATAAGCATATTGTTCTTGTTTGGAATTGTAACTTCGTTTGATTTATCTACAATTACAAAATTTACAAGCTTCCATAGGTCACATTTATACGTCGTAATCAAGCATGAAAATTCTTTGTTTTTCTTCTTACAAACCTTCTACTGGTTAACGGCGTGTAGCATTGAACAGTTGAACTTTTAGAAAGATTTAAAGTTCTGACAACTTAAGCATCATATATTCTTCCTTGGAGTCGATATGTGGAAAATTATTTTGTGCCACAGAATTTAAAACATCTTAAGAATAGATTGTTATGTAAAGCAAAGATACGGTTTTATGATTTTTATTGTTTATGTTTATAAAATTGAATATAATTTGGATGAAATTGATCAATAGAAATGAGAAGTATAAATTTTACAAAATTTTACGGTTTTCAAGATAATTGGGAGTAAGTGGTGAAAACTTGAGCTCCATCCTCAAAAATTGGTCTTATACAGATGAGGTGGTATAAAAATTCACAATATCAGATTGTGGAACTTTTGCTTGTTTAAGTTCAATAAGAAAAAATATGCGTTTGTTACTCTAATGTTAAGAAAAGTAAATCTCAACGTTGGATAACGTGACATTTCATTATCTTCTAGATGCAATAAATCAAATGAAGGGAATATGATAGAGAATTCTTGTTGTAGTCTTGTAGAAATTATAAAGATTTGTTAGCATCAAGTTCAATGTGTGTTTGTATCTTAAGGTACATTTAACTGCAAGCTGTTTCTGGTAATCTGAATTGATTCGTATGTGGCAAAAGTTAAGTTTATCAAATCACAAGTCAAGGACTAAATATTTAAAATATTTCATGATGGCATGCATGAGTCCATTTGCAATTTCAAACTAAATTTCCTTCCTGATTCATAAATGTCATTTCATACTATTACAAGTATAATGAAACAACACATATTTTATAAATATACTGTCTGGACCCAAAGATAAATATAATTGCATGCTAGCAAGCAATTTGAATTCCTTAGCAAGCAAGCACATCATGATAAACACAACTTCCTTTAGATGACAGTGATTTTTGGTAAGCAAATTGTTTGTATTTGTAACTTTGTTTATTTGGTGTACAACTACAGGATCACAAGTTGCTACGGGTATCTATGATGTATATTTTATAGTAACAGGTTGAGACTAATATTTATTAAAATTGTATTAATTATATTTGACGAACAACTTTTATTTAAGATCTCATTTATACATCGTTAACACACACGATAATTCTTTGTCTTTAGTCTTACAAACCTTTTACTAGTTGATGGCTCAAAACTTTGAACATTCGATCTTTCAAATCACTTAACGTTCTCAAAAGTTAAGCGTCAAATGATTGCGTCCTTTGAATTGATACGTGGTAAATTGTTTTGTGCAATTTATATTGAAACATTAAAAGTTTATTGTTATGTAAAGCAAAGATACGGCGTTATGATTTTTATTGTTTTTATTAACATGTCTGAATTTTATTACCGTTTCCTTGGTATTTTGGGTGTTTGTTAAAACAAACCTTAGCTCCATAATTAAGTCGGTCTTATACATGAAAATTCCCAATATCAGACTATGGAACTTTTGTTTCATTTGCTTGTTTAAGTTAAATAAGACAAACTAGGCGTTCGTTGGCTTAAATGTTGGGAAAAGTAAATCTCACGCCTTGATAAGATAACATTACATTATATTCTGATAAATTAAATGAAGGAAAGCTGATATAGAATTTTTATTGTAGAAACTATATAGATTTGTTAAGATCATGTCCGATGTTTGATTGTGTCATTTAGGTATATTTAAAGCTGTTTCTGGTAGTCAGAATTGATCCGTAAGATGGCAAAAGTTAAGTCTATTAAAAGCACAATTCAAAACGACTTCACACCAAGAATATAAAAATGTCCATTGCTGTAATTGAATTAAGTAATTAGTTTATAACTTGTTGATTGGCATAATTTTAACCCAAAAAACCTCGAACGTGGTCGAACTAAATTAGTCAAGAACTGTAAACTGAATAAATTTTTTTATATATAGACATATACAACACCTCCATGTTGTCCAAAAAAGCTTTGTTTTTATAAACAATGTTGTACTCAGATATCTCAAGATTACAAGTATCATGTAAGCTATGTTTCTGCGATGAACACTTCATCGGTTTCTTGCTTGGCAGCGAAATCGCGAATTATTTTGAGCTTTAATTTTTAAATGTGAAGCGTAATTGTATATGCAAAATATAATTCCGGTTACCCACTAGAGGTACAAATTACTATAGAAATGTTTGGCAGATAACGTTTACAAACAAGGATTTTCGAATATTTAAAGCATTTGGCGACGTTTTACTTATCTCAAATATCTGTCATGGATGAGTAAAGTTATTTAAATCAATTTGACATCAAAATTATTTCGATACCTGTAAAATATCGGCGTTCGTGTTCATTTGAAAATCGCTCGTGCAAGAATCGAATTTGCCTCATAGTTGTCAAAACAAGATAATTCACAGCTCGCTTTCCATGTTTAGAGGCAGTTATGATCTAGAATACGTTTCAATGCGTAAAAATTGTAGTAAGTACCTTTATTTTATCATTTTTTATAATCTAGAGATTGTCATATGTTACTTTAGCCGTGACTTTATGAGTCTGGGTATATTGGTGTAGGAACAAACAAATTTACTAAGCTTAGTTTATTCTTAGTTTTAATTTTTTTTTTATTTTATAAAGATAATATTATCACTACACCTTGCTACAGCATTTGGATATGGTATTCATCTGTACGTATGGTTGTTATTGTCATAACATGCAGGGGCGGATCTAGGCTATGTCAAATCATTCACGCGACTGATGTTTATAGTTCAAAAATTACTTATCAAATGTATTGATTACAATTTTTTGTGATCATTGAATTCCCGATGTATAGTCGTATGAATTTAACTGTCAAAATTCTGTTTTCTTTCTGAAATCTTACGTAAATATCACGTTTTAGCATATCTGGAATTATAATAACTGACTGACTGATAAGCGGTGATGATTAATATTTTTAACATGGTGTTATGTGATTATGTGATTTACAAAATGTTTTTGATTAATAATCACGTAGCCTTAAACCTTAAAATAGTTGTACTTTCTATTGCAAATCACAGCAGTTTTTAAACAGTGATATAATTTTACAAAGAGGTAATTGAATGTTTATTCATAACAATGCATGGTTGCTTTATAATACTAGTAAGTATCGTTTGTCCAATTATTGCATTCAAGACAATATGTAGTTTACAACCCACTTTTTTATCTCTTAGATTGGTTTATTAACTTAGCCTATTTCTTTAGAAAGTTTGCAATGTCAGTTAAATTATTTTTATTTAGTTGCTTAGAACATTTTCCATTTGCTGTTGTTAGCAAGTAAACTATAATGTTATACTTAAAATTTTAGGGTTATGTATAAATTAGTTATGATACATGCATGTAAAGAAGAGAATAAGTTACAAATGGTTGAGGAGACATATAAGTTACCATGACCTGTGAATGAGATTTATCATTTTTTTTATTAAAACAATTTGCTAAATGTTGTGATCTCCAGCACTTAGGGGGAATGGGTTGTAACATTAGGATATGTTTAAATCAATCAAAAATAAATAGAGTGACAGTTACATTTTATCATTAATTTTAGTTCATATCATAATGAAACGTGACCAGGTGCAATACAGAAAAAACTGGATTTTGCTAATAGAGCTTCAAGCTGTAGTAATCTGTTCAATAATGTTTTTGATAATGACCGTGAACATTCACAACCTTTACAAAAATTAGCTAGAACCGTTACAAGTCCTAAACAAAGTTTTTTCTCTTTGCAAGTTGGTCTTAATGATTGTGATATTGGGGAAAATGACCGTGCTGTTTCTGGTGAAGTTGATATTTTAGATGTTTCTTTTTGCCATGGAAAAGCTGATTCTTTAGTGCATGTGAATGCAGACATTGGGAAAGGCATTTTTCTGATTCTTCTGATTTTGAACATGATAGTTTAAATGTTTCTTTTCAAGATGGGTTAGTTGATTCATTGAATGAGTACTCAATTAAGCAAAATGCTGTTGATGGTTTGCTTGCTCTTCCTAAGGATAATGGTCATCCAAATTTGCCTAGTTGTGCTTGCACTTTGTTGTATACATCAAGATGTATTCCCATTTAGAAAAATTCTGGCATGGATTATATGTACTTTTGTTTTGGTGAACAATTGTTAAAGCACTTTCACAAGCATCCTTGTGAAACAGTTAAGAACATTAATCATCTTGAAATCTCTTTAAATGTTGATGGGCTTCCTTTGTTTAAAAGTTCTGCAAAAAATGTATGCACTTTCACAAAATGTAGAGAGGGGAGTCCAAGATAGGGAAAAGGTTCTGACTGTTACAGTAAGGGGCATTGTTTGTGATGCTCCTGCAAGAGCACTTGTTAAAAGTACAAAACTTTGTACTGGTTATTTTGGTTGTGACAAGTGTACACAAAAAGAGAAGTGGCTTGATCGAGTGACTTACTCTCAAAATAATAATATGGAATTGCGCACTAATATCTCCTTTAGAAAGCAGATACAAGAAGAACATCATCGCTTTGTTAGCCCTTTCTGTCACTTGCCTGTTGATATGGTTTAACAATTTCCAATTGACTACATGCATCAACTGTGTCTGTGTGTTATGGGTAAATTTGTTATGGTTTGGATGAAGGGAAATCGCGCTGCTAAAATGTCTGTTGCCCATTTAGAGGATCTTAGGAAAAAATTGGTGGAGCTTAAACCATTTATCCCCTCTACATTTGTGCAAAAATTTAGGAGTTTAATGGAGGTTGACAGATGGAAAGCTAGAGAATTCAGACAGTTTCTTTTGTTTACAGGCAAAATTTCTTTCAGCCGTCAATGAAATCTTATCAAAAAAGTCTAGAAGTAAGAACTGTAGTTGCAATGCAATAGGCCATTGCTTTATTTAAAGGAGTGCAGTTTTTCACATATTGCTCCGTTGCCTTTAAATCTAATGAGTGATTTTGCTTTTTAGATTTGCCGGTGTACAGCGAGCTGATCTCCCTTTGCAGAAAAAGGTATAAGCGCTAATATAATCCTCGTACAAGTGGACATTTTTTTACAGAAAATGCATGTATAAAATTTCTTATTTCATCTTACTATAATGTTGATCTAGATTTATATGACGGTAAACTAGCACCAGAAATCCTAAACACAAAGGATCATGCAATAACTTCCACATCTACTAGTAGGACACCATCTCAACGTAGTGGTAAGTTTTCTGTCATCAGAACTGACTAATCATCAACTTTCATATAATATGTCGACTAAATTGTTGAAATAATTTTGATTGATTCTTTTTAAATAACTTTAACATTCGTATTGTACATTTACTGTTTTTCTACGTCCATCGTTGCATTATAGGGCTTATGTATGTTCTACAGGTTCTGTAGGCGTTGGTCCTTTAAAATGTTGTTGTAATTAGTTTAAAAAATGTTCGTTATAGTTAAAATAGCAGTTGTATTCACCATGATTTAATCAAAATACATTCGTTCAAATCTAATTCTCTGCGTTTGCTATCAAACTACTAAATGAAACTTTCTCGAGATTTTTATTTTAGTCACCTTTCTGTTTCTGACTTTTGAAACTTGTAGTGCCTTAATTTAAATGACGTTCGTGCGTGCAATAAAGATATATGTTAAACCCAGTACGTGTCTTCTCTGTAGATACAAGCAAAGTCTCTTCACAAGGAATTCCTACAACTGGCACAATAAGAGAAAGACATTCTCAACGAAACAGTGGTGTCTAAGGCAAGCTTTTCTTACAATTCATTATTGCATATTTTGTTGTTACGTTTTCATTTACGTTCATTTCGTGTCGTTTGAAATGTTTTTTTCTTCACAACTAATTGCATCACGTGATTGCTTTGCAGATGCGCATGACCTTTCATCGCACGAAACTCCTTCGACAAGTTTTATGAACATAACACCTGCAGGAAGACGTTCTCAACCAAACATTAATGGTACCTTTTCTACGGTATATAGTTTTGAATAGCGTTGTTATTTTGTATGTGTATTCAATTAACAATTTGATGCGATTTTTATTTGAATTTTCTTGTTAGCATGTTGTAAGGTTTTATATTTTTAAGATATTACGTAGGTTATACATAAGTTATTCTATTATTTTCTTATCTATCTTGTAGGCTTCCAAAGATCAGTTCTCACGAAACTGGAAACATTAATTGATAAGCTAGAAGAAACGTAGTCAATATTGCGTGCTCTGTTAAGCAATAAGAAAGGTGTAGACGAGCACGAAATTTTGAAAGATGTTGTACCTAATCCCTTGGATTCGGTGTATCCCTTTATAAGTGAAAATGCCACACTTTTTTGATAAATTTCAGTGCCCAACTCACCTCCAATTCTTCGTGTGTACCAAACCATTTACACTCTTCAGATGGACAGTGTAATTAAATCCTTTTTAACTCACGCTTCGTAAAAGCATCCGGGAAAACCTAGATGGTCCATGGAAATTGATCTTTCATGAAACAAGATTAAATGTAGCAAAAGACAGAGTCACTTCACTTTACTCAAATGCAAGTTTGCACTAGACGTTAAATGAAACAGTAACGTAAATTTCTTACAAGAACTGTTGGCAAACTTTTTTGAAGTAGAATTCACCGACGCACTAACGCTAGGTGCAAAGGCTCTCAACATGTAGACTCAACAACGAGATCAACATGTTCAACACCGTGTTTAGGAGAGTTGAGTAGTAGTTATTAAGCGGAGTTGAGCGTTGTTGAGTGAAGTTTAAACTTGCTCAAAATTTCCACTCAACATCACTCAACATTTGCTTTGTTCCATGGTCACCAAACCGCACCTCAATTTTGTTTATAGTGCAATGAAACTTCTGGTTTTTAAAACAGCATACTCAACATTTTGAGCGAAAGCATGCACACTACCTGTGCAGCTGATACTGTTGTAATTTACCTTGTCACTGAACCGTTAATGTACCTGTATATACGCTGTTGCTAGGCATGGTGGAGTATTTTATCTCATGATCCTAGACGATACCATTTCAAGTACAAAATACGTACATCGATATATAATTTTTTAGAACTCAAAGAGTAATTATAATTATAGTTGTTAAGCCAACATGCTTATTTAGTCGTGCTATGCTAATTTTTCTTTGCTCATTAACTGACAACCCTGTAATATGGAAAATATTATGTACTACAATTTACAAAGCAGGACTAAACTAGCAGGATGGCTACGCTAATGATCGATAGCAACAAAACTATAATTGAATTTTCTGTCAAATCTTTGCAATATATTCACCTACATTTTCCTTGGTCAAATTTTCTTTATCTTCAGGACATTTAAAATCAGGATTTCTACAGATTGAAAAAAGAGAAAAACTACTAACAAGAATGATCAATTTCGTAGAGTGGATGGCGTAGCCAGTTCGACAGTTAAATAGATGGGGGTCAATATTTGTACATGCATGTTCTGATAAATTACGTTTCTAGGAAAGCAGCTGTTATTTAGGATTATAAAAATACGAGTATGATGAGCTCTCCCTAGTCTCCTACGCAACAGTTTTTAACCGAAGTCGTACCATATGATCTAATAAACAATTTTGACGCCCTACCAGCTAAGCACCGACTTAATTGAACAAGATGATACGCAGGAATACTTTGGGATATGTGATACGATATTAGGATGCATAATCAGGGCGTCTATTGAAAGATCATGTATGACAACTACTATAACTTCTATAAATGATTTGCTACATAAAAAATGACGTTACCCAAGAATGTCCATACAAGATTTACAAAACAAATGTCCACACGAGGTCTGCATTGGATTGATGAGAAGGTGATGACAGTAAGTACATATGTACTTCGCAGGGATTTCTTCTCGATCTTCATCACGGATCTTGATTCCAGGCATCATTAACAAAGTTAAAATCTGTTTTCAAAGAAAAAAAGTTTAAAACACGTAACTAGCATACCGAAAAATAAACACAAACACCACGTTTCTTTAAATACCGAAGAAAAGGGAAAACCACCTGCAGTTTATTGAAAAATAAGAAAGACTTTTGGGCAAATGCACCTTACGTGATCAGGATTTTGAAATATGTTTAGATGTCTTGATTTTTTTTGCTTTTTCCTTTATTTTCCACTTTCTTAACGCTGTTGTACCAACAATAAGAGCTTTTGCAATCACAGACAGTGACAGCAGAAGACGTTTTGTATAGAGCGGTGTAGCAAATAACAAGAAACGTCGTAGCAGGCGCTTGGCATTCAGACCATTAAGCAAAGTTTCGGCTTCATTAAGTCATTCTGTATGAGAGAGACAGACAGTATAAGAGGCCATTTATATGTCAATTGTTTTCCATTATCGAACAGGAATTTATTTCAGAAAAAAAACATTGAAAAGCTCTTTGTAACAATGAATAATTGAATAATGCGAGGGGCGTCTTAGCACCTCCATCTTAATCATTTTGGAGGCTGCAACCTCCTTAGCCACCCATCCCCCTACCTTTGGTCACAGTTTAAATGAAAAGTCATGGTTTGTTTGATAGTTGGTTGACTGGTTAATACTGACTATCTTCTGCTATAGTTACGTTCAATTATCTTAATTTAACTTTGAGTGACTTTTATGTTAACACTGTACATGATTCACTGACACTCATCAAAGAAAATTCCCCTTGACAAATGCAAATTACAAAAATCACTAGAAATGACCTGTATGTAAATATTCTGTGGCATTAATGTCCATTTTAAGGATGAACACATAAAACAAATAAATTATGTAATGGTTTTCACCATGATGCCTGTAAATACATGGCATTCAAACATCATTAAATTTAAAGCAAGAAGCTTTAAAGTGCAGGTGTTTTTCCTATAATGGATGGACACCCACATTTCAAATGAACATGTTCTCTGTACAGACACCCTGATACCATGGTCATGAATAAAATTTTGTTGCTCACAAATCTAGCCAAAGGCAGCATATTTTACGTATGTAGACTTATGTGTGATAGTGGTATGATGCCTAATCATGCATTCAATTTTTTACAATCTGGGTGATGTTTTATCCATTCTATTGCAAGATTAACTTGACTTAATAGTATGCATAGAATAGAAAAGGTAACTTACCACTTGAGTCCTGGCCCTGTATCTTACAAGTTTAGTGATTGAGTTAGAACACAGAAGGAATCAATCCTTCTTTGCACCTTAAAAAAATACACAAAATGTGAAATATGAAACTGGGGATAAATTTAGTGCATTCACTTCAAGACAGGGATGGATCAAGAATGATTTTATGGGGGGGCACAGGGTGCTTTGATTTCAATAAGACGTTTTTGGATGTCATTGTGTCATGATGGGATTTTATGTTAAATTCTGTTATTTATAGCATAGGTAGCCTAGTGGGAAATATTTTTGAAGTGTGATCCACCGAACACAAATCATAATTGCTTTTTTCTCAATTCATTTGTGTATTAATAATTTACAGGAAAATTCGTACAACGAGTAGCCAACGCAAGGAAGAGTGAGAAATTTTGAATTTCAAAGCCTTGGGAATGCCATTTTCAGCATTTTAGAGCAATACAAAATTCTTTTTGTGGATGTTGTTTTTTTCTAAAAAAAAACTGTAAAGTGAAGAATACATGAATGTTTTGCCAAATGTTAAGGCTCATTAGCATGCTTAGGAGCATAAAATTTACTTTACAATAATGCTATTTCAAAACAGAGATAGTCTTTAAAGATTTCTACCAAGTTGTCAGGCATAGACCTCCCTAGTAACCCCCATTCACACCTCTACGTAATGATTTAAGTTAGAAGTGAGGTACTACAAGGGACAGTTTATAGATGTAAAAAAGCTCAGACTTCAAACCATGCAAGTTTATTGAACCCTTAACCCATTTCCCCTTACATTGGCAGAAAATTCACCTTTTGAGAAAAAATTCAAAATTTTTTTCTGCCAAAGATTAAACAATAAGTATCAGAGAGGAAATTTTGCAATTAAGGACAGCTTAATGCCATTAAAGTTTATGAAGCCTTTCAGTAGACTGTTATCTTCTGTAAGTCCATGCAAGTTGTGCTATATAGCAAGTACCAGTAGCATTGTACTTGCTAAAAAAAACAGAATGTAACCAGCATGTCTTTAAAGGTCACCTGAAATGCTTGATATAACTTTGCTTCATATGAAAGCTTAGCTAATGATTAGCCTATTCGCCAAATTTGAAAGTCCAATGTTTTATATTTTATTAGATATGGTCTTCTGAATTCATGTCATTGACGATTTCCGAAGGCCGAATTCAAATAGCGCGAGCGAATTTGAATTGCCCAAGCTGGGGCGAGTTTGACGTAATAGTTGCCATTGCATGTTTTTGCTCAGTGCAGCCAGTAGCAGTAAAAATTAAATTTCGCCAATTTTCTTTTTGTTGTTGCTGCTACTATTAATGCGTGTTTATCTCGATGTCTTCAACGGAGGAAGAAGTCGAATTTGACATCGAATATATTGCTACGGAGGTCCAGCCTTACATGTTTGAACCGCTAGCTAGTAGCAATAATGTTGAAACTGACGAAGATCTGTCTTCGTCGTCGTGAACGGACAGCTCATCTGACGAATAAACTCACAGGATTGGAAATACAAACTGGTGCGTTGCTTTTTTTCATGATTAACATTTCAGATCGCGTCATAAAATTCTTTTCTTTATTTTAATGGCAGGTGTGAGTGTGGACACTGAGTGGCGATGACAACCGGCCGGGAAAGCATTTGTTGTCATGAGGAACCGAAGACAGACCCTAAAATTCATGGTGACCATTTATGCATCACAGAAGAACAAGAGTTTCACATGGTCTGCATCAACGAAACAGTCGTTATAACAGCTATGGTTGTATTCGTTCACGATCACGGGGCAATACCAGACGCTCCAGAAACCGAGTCAGTTTCAGCTTTTTTGATATCTCCTCATATATCGACAATAATTTGCTTATGTTTGATTTTGTTTTGTTTCCCAGAACTTTGCGTTACACTGCCTATAGGCAATGGACAGCATGGATACATGGAAAGCTCGGCAAGAAATATCGACTTCCTATACCATCCTGTGCTGTTAAAGAAATAAGGAAAGCATTTCCTTCATCTTCTGGCATATATAAAGGCTTTGAATATGCACAGCATTTATAAATACCTGTGAGTGTTAGACTTCAGTTTGGTTAAGATTGAATCGTGAAGTATGTTGTTGCACTGCTGTTACTTTATCAACTTTTTCAACTCTACTAGTCAGTGGATCTGGTATTTTTTGTTGTCTTTCTGTTGCAATTGCTTGGTTTAAACTGGAATTAGCATGTCTGCACCTTATCTGTTCTTCCATTAGTTGTCTCACATAGTCTGTAAAACAGGGGGAGAAGAATTAAACTGAGAAGTGCAAGAAATGTACCATCAGTAGAACAATTATTTGGCTTTTGAGTGCTAAAACTTGTCCTTACCATAAGTACTATCAATTTTAACACCTTTGATGACTCCACATGACTGTCTTGATTTGGGGTGAGACACTTTCCACATTAATTCCCCATTTTCTTTTGTACGCCTTTGTTCTTTACTTCCATTTTCATTGAAATGGAGAGCAGCAATCAGTAATCTAAAATTTAATTTTACTTTTAGTGTGCCACCTTGCAATCATTTTCAGTATGAAAACAACATTGTTTATTGTTTGTTTACCTAGCTTGCATTGCCTTGTAAAAGAAATGTGTATGCTTTGGTGCATATAGTATAACAACTCGATGAAAACCTTCAAGAGCTGATGTTTGTTTCTCATGGCTGAGCTTCCCAATATCTTTCATGAGATACCTGCTTTCAACAATCGATGCCAATTCAGTAAATGCTCTAGATCCTTGGAAAAAAGATAGAAAATTTTATGGTGCCCATTTATGTCATATGTTGACAAATAACACCACATTGTGGCATTGGCTGGCAATTGAAGTTTGTTGATAAAGAAAGTATCAATTACTGTAAATAACTATTATGTCTTATACCAGAGCATTTAGGATTAATTTGTACCTTTCTTTATCCATAAGCGAGGCTCAAGAGTACCATGCTCACATTTTGGAAATAATTCGCTATGACCATCATGAATGTTGCAAATGTGATTCAGCAATGATAGCCATTTAGCCTTAAGTAGTTTCTCATCACCACCACTACTTGCAGCACACCAGTAGACATGGTTAGATATTGACTGTGCCCAATCAAGTAGCAATCTACATCCACTCTTCTTACCGGCTGCCATTACCTTTTTTTTGATACCTGTAGAAAAAAATAGACACTGTACATCGGTTAAAAAATTGTAATGCAAAACATAGCAATAATTGATCAAAATATCATGAAATTAAATGCAATTAGAAAAATTCTAAAACCTCTTAATCACTTGGTAATTTATGATTATAAAGATACTCTTTGATCAAATCAGGAAGTACTTTATTTTAAGACCCATTGCTGTACTTTGAGCAGCTTTTGATAGCCTTAATTTTACCTTTTGCCACATGCCAAACATCAAAATAGTGCTTCACTCCTGGCTGTTGGGTTTTCATGTATTTTTTAACTTGGCAATGCCTGTCTGTGATAAGATGACTCACTTGAAGATTGTGTGACTGAATAAGTTTAAAAGATCTTTTCAGTCCTTCCAATTCCATTGCCCTGAATTTGCAACTTCATTTGACTGTAATAGATATATTAATGTAAATAAAATCATACAGTGTTTGGGATATGTATGTCTGCAAGTATGCATGTATGTTGGTGTATATCACATGATTTAGTTACACACATTGTATTCCTGTTGTATAAGTACATATTACACATTTCCTAAAATGTGTTTGCATACAATACTGTTTTGAATACAATACTATAAACTAATGAATTGAGCTAGTTACCGGAACTAATTGTGTGTCTAGAATTTTATTGCTTTCTAAATCCATGCAGCTGTATGAGCAATATTTTGCACAATAGCCAAGTGAATCACATCGTCCATCACCCCCAATAACAATCTGCTTTCCCTGACGCTCTGTCATCATAATAGTCTGGTGCTTTTTCCAAACATTCAAAACACTTGGAATAAGATATCCACTTTGTATATAGTTGTAGCATCTTTCAGTAATGAACTGTACATTTGCTTGTTGAAAATATTGCAGGATTTTGGATGGGCTGTTACCACTAAATAGAATACTGGCATATAACAAGAGATTACCCAATGGCATCTGACTATGAGTAGGTTGACTATTCCAATTATTAAGAAACCCACATGAGCATTTAGCGATGATGTTCACCATGCTTCCAATGCTTCTGGTTGTTATCTTGCAGTGACCACCACAGTGTCGACACTGAGAGAACAACTTTCTTAGACAGCTGTCAAAAACTATATATTTTTTTTGAGTAACATCATTTTCCCTATAACATGGAAAAATTACTTATTTTTTATATGAATGTTATCTTGCTCTGTAAAATACTTGAAATGAACTTATGTTTTGGGTTATCTTATTTCAAAATGATGCAGACTAACTTACTCGGCAATTGATGCTTCATCATCTGACGATTCAAATTCGCTGAAACTAAGATATTCATCTGCGGTACTGTTGTTTTCCGAAGTTCTTATTTCAGCATCTGATAGGAAATCATCATCAATGTCGTTTTCATCTACGGATAAACTACCTTCCGTTTGAGTGCTTCTTGCATTTGTCGTTATAATTTCGGTTTCTGTCCCTGTGCAACGGAATAACATAATTAAGGAAACACTTTTCAAAATGTTTATTTTCCGCTGAGTTCATGTAAAAAATTAACCTTGAGACGTCACTTGTGCATTCGTTTGAGTGCGTTTGCTTTTTGCTTCGACTGGGATTTTTATATCAGATTGACACTTTACATGTCTGCGTTTCTACATCATCAAGCAACAGTTAGGCTTTTGCACAAAACTAAACTGCATTGCTTTCCCTTACCACTTTGTCAGTTTGTGTTCCATTGTCACTTATGTTACATTTATCTCTTGAGTCCAGTTGTCCACCCAAAAAAAACGAACATGTTTTTGATGTATTTTCGTCCTCGTCAGGCTGCTCAATGTTTTCCACGGAGTTCTCAAGAGCTTCGTTTATTATCTGAATTGTATATGCGTTTTTTTAAAGTAATGCACTATAATTACATTAAAAACTGCTTGGCTACAAGACTTTACCTCTAATTTTCTGCGCTTTGCATACGCGTTTCTAGTTGCGTCCGGTTTCCGTTTATCACCAACTTTCGACCTCGAATAGTCGAAGATCGTTGGTATTGCGTCTTTCTTTAACCTTAACCTGGTTGGTCGCCATCCTAAAGATTTCAGGACTCCGGGGTTTTGGACAAAACAGCAGGCTTCAAAGTGTGCCGAACAGAGCTTTGACCTTTTCGAAGGATTCCAATCTTTCCTTTTCACCTTATCGACCCATGCTTGGCGTAAAGGATTTTTAGCGGGGAAACTGAAAAACCCAACTTTTTCCGCCTTAGATTCGTTCTTAGAAGGACCGTTTTTGCAGTTAAATGCCACACAGTAAACCATCTTAAAATAGCCGATCAAAATCAAACTTTATTTATGAATTCATATTTTCCGCTTTCTCGCGCGAAATGTCAATGGCAACTATTACGTCACACCGAGTACTTTCCGACGATAAACCGACGGAATATTTTTTACTTCTATTCAAAAAAAAACACAAATTCCCACGTTGATATCTCTTAAAATAATCATGGGATTGTTTTCAAATTTCGTTTGAATAGTCTACGCAATATATACATTTTATATGTCAAATAAACAGAAATATGAATTTTGCATTTCAAGTGACCTTTAAATAGTCGCAATGTTATTAAGAAACTCAAAAAATGGCATTATGCTATATTTATATTATTCAGTAACATTTTTACTATTTAACCTTATATTACTCATTTTAAAATGAAATTTCAATAAACTGGATTTTTTGATTGGTTCATATTTCATTGGGCTGTAGGAAAACCATATAAGGATATTTAAATATGATGGTCTTGATAGAAAAAAAAACCTTAAAGAAGGCCCTGTAAGTTGCAGTTCTATTTTATAAATAAACATTTCATCCAAGTATTGGAGTGTTTTTTCATTGTTGCTAGGAACTTTCAAAGAGACTGTTAGTACTTATATTTCACAGAGTTTCACAATCTTGACAATGAATGATCTAACTGTAGAGGTTGTGTTTTTATACATTCCAAATAATCTTGAAGGATTTATGAGAATATTTTAAAATATTACTAAAATATTAACACGATGAGAATATGGGACTGTGAAACATGAAAATTATGTTGAAATTAGAACTCAATTTTAAACTTGCTTCATGCATTTGTGATTTGTAGACATAATTCAAATGCAGTTCTCCCATTAGTTATTTTGACTTAGGCCCTGTTCACACGATACCGGATTCGTCTTGTACCGTACTCGTTGAGCAATCCGATACGAAAAATGCACTCTGTTCACACGATGCCGGATTCATAAGACGATACATAAGTATCGAAAAAAAGTAAGAAAATGAGAAAATGAGAAAATGAGAATTTTTTTGACAGATAACTAAGTAGAGTTTTTTCTTAGTATTAGTTTTTCGTGAGAAAATGAGAATTTTTTTTGACAGATAACTAAGTAGAGTTTTTTCTTAGGCGTATTAAGGTTTTTTACGAATGGGCGCAAGGACTGGAAGAGTGTAAAGTCCAAATACGACCGAATATATGTTGCCATTACAATAATACTAGAAAGAACACTTGAGAAAAACGACGATTTTTTTGAAAGCAAACATGTTTCGACAAAATTGTCAAAAAATCATCTTTCAAAAAAATCGTCGTTTTTCTCAAGTGTTTTTTAAAATTGCTGCTAACTAGAAAGAAGCTTTTCACACTACGATAATACATTGTTAAAAGCTTAAACATGCCATGTTGAAGATTATATTTGCTGGCGGATTATTCATTTAAAACATAGTTTGTATCGCTATGTTTGCTTTCATTTTTGAAAATCGCACGGACTTCTTAGTTGCCAAAGTGGAACGTATTGGATTTGAACGTTCACACGACAACGGAACGTATCGGATTGGTTTTTATACCACTTCCACAGCGGAGTCAAATCGCTCCGGAAAAACGATATAAAGCGTATCGGATTTCAGCGGAGCCGTATGAACGCGAGGCCTATCCGGTACGAAAAGTAATCCGGTATCTAACTAATCCTGTATCGTGTACACAGGGCCTTACGTATATACAGTAAAAATAAATGAGATCATTGGCGAATCAGCACATTTACAGATAAGTATAACAACCAAAAGTTATTTGAAGATTTCTTTTTCAAAAAAAAACAAAACAAAATAAAATAAAAAAGCACTTTTGCTGACGTACTTAGACATAAGAGTGCGGAGTGCGCGGTCAGTTATCGTAAAATTCCGGATTGCTGCTACCACCGAGCGAACCTTTCCTCTAAGTCTCACCAATTTATTCAGGTCACGAACCTGACGACCATTATAGCTTCCTGATTGAAGTTGTTACATGCTGTTCGATCCTATCACCCAACCTTAGAGACGTTCTACCTACATAGCGAGCATCACACTCATATTTATATTCGTAAATTACATTGCTTAAAAGTGTTGCCGGTAGAGATTCTTTGTGGTAGGTGGTAGAAAGATAGCATGGCGTGCAAAAAGCAAATTCTCCGTAATATTCTTATTTTCTCTTTCAATATCATCACATCCATAAAAGTTTGATAAACACAGGGCACTTAGCTGGTCCAAAAGGCCTGTTCTGCTCATTTTTTGTGTATGAAAAAAGTTTATCAAGCATTTTTTCCGGATATCCATTTGAGAGAAATATCTTTTTCAATAGTTGAGATCACCCTCAATGAACTCCTTTGATGACAGTCTAAGCTTTCGCTTTATTAAACACTTTACTAAAGAAATCTTTTCTCTATGTGAAGAAAAAGAGTTAAAGCGTGTGTACAAGCCCGTAAAATTTGCCTTGCGATGAATGCTTGTAAGTAATTGACCGTTGCGTATATGCACAAGAACATCCATAAACGCTAACGACAATTTGATTCATGTTCAGACGTTTACTTTAAAAAATGGTGAAAAGAACAGAGTTTATTTAAAAATAATTGGCGATTTTTGTAGTTACGAAAAAGGGAAAAGGTGTCGTCAACGTAACGTTTGTACCACAGCACATCTGGAGGTCCAGACAAGGCAAACATCTTACATTCATAATACCTTACGAAAATATTAGCAAATACTGGTCCAAGAGGAGAACCCATAGCCACCCCATCAATTTGTTTGTACATGATATCACTAAAACTAAATTTAACTCCTTTAGTAGCTGCTATCATTAATTCATTAAAAGCCTCCTCGGACATGTGCGGTACAGCCATGTCCGTGTGAAAAAGATTATCAATACAGATTTCGATGATTTTGATGGTTTATCATTATCAATACAGATTTCCATTCTTTTTCATTAATTTATATGCGTAATCTGCAATCTCCAAGTCTGCAATTAAAAATTGTTAATACTTCAGTTTACAATGATTTTTTTTTCTTAGGAACTAATGTGATGACATATTAAGCAGAACTTTAAACATTAAGACGACAGTGTCTCATAAAGAAAATTGGATAAATCAAGAGTTCAAAAAGCAAAACTCAATGGCGGATGATCAATATAAATGCTTAGTCGTTTGAAAACCATTCCAATGTTAAAATCACTGTAAACTATTACAAAAGTTGGTCTCCTTTTTACAAGTTTCCGACTTCTTCAAAAACACTCCAACCAACAGAGAATCATTGCTATCGTCATAAGGAATCATACAAGTTTGAAATTTTTGCGCATATAGACAATAAAAGTAAAGAAAAGCTTCTTGGACCCGAGAATTGCAACGATATCGAAGGGATAACTATAAAATAATCGGTCGTCACATAAATCGAGGAAACGAATTGCCCGTGAAGTATGGAGCATCTACAAACCCCCTGACACATAGCTCTCAAACAGAGAGAAATTTTTCATCAACAGTAGAAATCGATTTCAATCAAAGTAATTCAACTTGCACAAATAATGAACGTTTTGCGTCAAAAACACAGCGACGCTCAATTGCTGATAAAACAAACCAAGAACAATTGACCAGAAAAACCATTCAATATTACTCCAAAGGTCCGTGGATCTCAAAGATGATTGTAACCTATTATTTAAACGAAAGAAAAGTCACAGAAGAAGTAAGTGGTGATGGAGAGAGAGTGAATATTTCTGCAAGCGCAACAAATGTCGAAGTGAGATTTAAAGTTATGCGTCCATTTTGGGGCGACGTCATGAAGTACGACCGTTTTACAAATACCTGGTCGAAACCGTATACACCTCATATCTTCCGATACGAGAAAGCCACTGGTCGCACATTTACTCTTAATGGTAATCTTTGGTGGGAGGCAGTTATGAGAGTAACTGATGAATACCATGAGGAAACAAATGAAATGGGCGAAGTTTAGAAAGGTGAAGAACTTTCTATAATCGATTAATAATTTACAATACGTAACGTACGTAAGCTTGACAGATGTGTGCTATTGGCGTTTATCATTTGAATTCCAGCTAACAAATTCCCTGCAGATATCACTGAAAATAACATTTGTTGTGTTTTGAAGTATAGTACTTGCAGGCCCTAAATACTGTAGTAACTATATATTATAATATGAGTGTATTCTCCGATTGTGTCAGGTACTGTCGATAACAACAAACTACTCGATCTTTATTATTTCTATTGCGTATTGTACTCCATTGTACTTGGAATCAATCATAAGCCGTAATGAAAAAGATACGTGCCTACACCTAGATAATCGTAAAGATAACACAGAATATAAAATAAGAATTAACCAAAATAGCTCAAATAGGGTTAGCTGCAAAGTATTTTAAACTGGAGATATAACTGCTGTAACTGTTGTAACCGTCCTCTACTGAATGACACTACACTTACATAGTTGAAATGACCTTGATTCTTCAACAAGTCTCATTAACTTTTTTTGAATTTTGCAGATATCGCCAGCGGAAGTTGAGCGGAACGAAAAAAGTTTTTCCGTTCATGCTTATTTTACACAATGAACTTTAATACATAATCAACTTATTAGTGATTATTTCATTTACATTTTCAAGTGTTGAACTTTATATGCGCCGAATGCATTAAAGACAAAAGAAAATGATATATAATTCCTCTAAAAGACTGCAAAAACCATAATTTGTATACGCATAAGATCACACATTAGAATTGCAATGACTTACATTGGAGTAAAAACAATGGAATACAATACTTCATTGGTATTCTCCATATCTCATAAGTATTCTTTATGTAGAGAATACTAATGAGATATTGTTTTCTTATTGTTCATTTTCTTATTAGTATTCTCTAAACAGCAAATACTAATGAGGTTAAAGAATATTAATGATTGTTGTTGCCCTACATTGCATACCAGAACAACTGACAATAA